ATTATTTTGAGGATGCGATTAAAAGCTCCTAAGGATGCGATTCGGGAATTAACCGCACTCCTTTGAACCAATCAGATTGCAGGATTTGGTAGTGATTACGAGCGAACTTAAAGTAAGTTTTAACTTATAATAATTTTAACGTATTAATTTTATTGAGTAAGAAGAATTAATGAGTATTTTTTCTGAAACTTAAAACATGTTTATTTTCTGGGCTGATCTAGTTCACGGCACGGCTAAATCACAAATCAAATGAATTGGTTTACGGTGTTAGGTTTTGCGGACGTAGGACTGAAGAATCCTTGGATTGCAACCACGTGACTGAAAAATTAACTGAGATATGAATTACAATGGCAAACCCGCCATCTTGGTTGATCTAACTGAGGAATGCTTTGTATGGTCAACCAACATGGCGACCGTGACATAACATGCACCCCAAGAATTAGGTATGAAAAGGAGCGCCGAAGAGTTTCTCGAAACTCTCGGATTTGAGTCCTTTTTCTTAAGGACCAACACAGTCGTTAACACCAAGACGTCTTAATATTCAAAGCCATTTTCTGGAGCGGTTTTGTCATCAACCTCGTAATCCCCTCATGTTTTTTTTTCCGTACGGATTAATCTTCTCATTAGGAACATGTTTTTTAAGTTGGTCAGAGATAAACTACGAGATATCCTGAGATAAATAAGATTCCAAAACATGACGCTTGTCTAAGTGCTCTACACTTTCTCTACAAGTTCTTTTGTTGCTYTGTATAAGCTTTAGAAAACACCCACCAGATTGTCTCGCTTAATTAAGCCGAGCGGCGAGTGAAAATCAACTTCATCTTTTTTTTAAAGTTTTGTCCGTCTTGTGACAGGGATGAGCTAAACAGACCGGGAAAACATCTAAACAGAGAGGCAGATTAGTCCTGAAGTCTGGACTTTCTCCAATTATCTTATCAATGGTCCAATCAGACTTAAAATCTAACACAAATTGAAAATGAAGTCCTGCACTTTTAGGCTTACAAATACCGACAGCAAAACCCAGGTGATCTGGATTTTCGATTCTTTGAAAATTTGAAAATTTGAAATTGGCTCAGTGTTGTCTCATTTTCAGACCGCACGACCATTCCCTTGAGTATTGTATAAGCAATAGACCCATTCAGCTTGGCTCAATGTTGTCCCATTTCAGACCAAAAGATCATATATTCTCTTGATAGCAAATGTGTCCCGGTTTAGGATCTCCATTTGGGTGTAAGGTTTCTCTGTAAGGTCTTACGGTCATTCTTGCTATGAGGTTGCGTGACAATAACAACCTACATATCATAAAATACGTGCAAAAATCTGTACTAGAACTATTGGGGAAGGGAAAGCGTGTGTCAAGCAAAGAACAATTAATCAGAATCGTTTTGACATACAATAAATACAATAAACTTAACAATACATCGCGACAAGAATACAATTTCAGTTTATTTGTTAAAAGATATTTCTTATACGCTTTGCAATTATTTAAAATATATAACATATAAATACACATAATTATAAAAGTGATAGAGGAATTTTTAAAGAACTTCAATCAAAACTTAATCATATGATTAATGAATCTTAGGAAACTCTGGAAACCTTCCATTTTTGTAACATTTTGAAGTATATCTATTTCTCCTCAC